TACAAATACTACTTTTGAAATAAAAGTGATTTGTAAATTGTTGGTACTATTTTAAGTAAACGAATGCATGTACTAAAAATTATTTTACATAATTGTAATAATAAATATTGTCAACATAAAAACTTTGTACTAAAAAATACCGTTTAACTGGAAATATATTTTTAGTACTGAGTACTGCAAGTACTAAAAAATATTTGAAAACTTTTTTAAATGTATTTTGGTGAAAAAGGGGAGCAAATTTTTGATAGTGCTGTAAAATTTTGAAACTTCAAATATTATTTTTGTAACCTCTTAATTAAATACTCTAAATAATTTGAACAGCCCAGCTGCTTTAGCACATGCGGCACCTATGCCTTCACCACATCATTTGTCGACATCTGTTAATTTCATGCATGCAACGCTTTCCATTCGCCGCCAAATGCAGTCTAACCAATATTCAATCAAGCAAGGCTTGCAACCGTGGTTACTGCACCACACAACAGCGCCACAATGACTAAAGTTCGATTTAGCGTGCGATTTTCAAACATTGCCTACGCACACAGAATAGTAGTTACACGAAGAAAAAGTAATTTTATTAAAGCGCTAGAAAAATCTCATTTCAAATTCCGCCCACTGGCGTTTGTTGCGCCTCGGAGCGGCGTGACATTTTCACCTCACCACTCAGTTCACCTCAGCGCGTGTTTTTGCCTTTTAAGCTGCTTGCGACGGCATACCAATACATGCAGCAATATATAATAAATGTTTATTGCTATATTCTAAATGTGTACGCGCATGTATATATGTATGTATGTGTGAGTGTGTGTGCAATTTTATGCTGTTGGCAATTCTGTGCACGTCAATGCTGTTTAACCGTTATCCCAACGCCAGCGCAAGTGGCAGACACAACTAGTTGCACAAACACACAAACAGTTATCTATATGCATGTAGGTATTTGTATATACATGCATACTATATATGCGTGTGTATGTGTGTGATTCTGCGTTGCCATGGTGAAAAGTTGTGTTTTTGTGCCACATTCGCCCACTATTCAAATGCTCCAACGACAATCAGCCGAGCCACTAATTCACCACCCAACAACATCCCTACCGTTACGCCATGCCGTCACGCAATGGCCAACGCCTGCAACAGTCCAAACACTCTTGCCACTTTTATAAATTTTATGTAGCTGGCATTATTATAATATTATAACTTTATGCAAATGCACACAGCCACATACACAGAAACATTTGTGCGTATATTTGCTTTTATGTGCCAACGTGTATATGTATTTGTATATCCTGCGCTGGAAAGTATGCCAGCCTTTGTGCTTGCGTGTGTGTGTGTGTTTGTAATTTATAATAATGGGTTGCCATATCGTCGGTTTTTGTTGTAGTTGTGTAATTTGTTATAAAAAGCGCTCAACTTCCCTTATCACCAGCTCAACTTCCCAGCCACCATAACGCTCGCTACCCTTGCCACATATACGTATTGCTGTTGTTATTGCTGTTACTGCCTTATTCATTATATTCTACGCTTTCTCTCTTTGCGTTTCATGCTTTGCGACGCTTTTGTTACACTCATTCACTATGCTGTAATTGTTGTTATAGCGTACTTTTTGCTTGCGCTTTCGTTGTTGTTGTTATAAAATAGAACCACATTGCGGCGGTATGGCATGTCATAAGGGGGGACTGTGCGTTATAAAAAGGGTGTAGCGTTGCAAGTGGGCTACCATCAGTATGAGTATTCATATGCATGCGTGTGTGAGTGTCCGTGTGCAGTTGTGTAGGCCACGACGGCGTTGGTAGAAAGCCAACGACGGTTGCTGCCCTCGCCATGCTCGCAATCAATTGTTTGTTGTATTTACATGTAAATATGTTTGTGTTGGCCATACTTGCATATATGTATAACTGTATATACATAACAAAATATAGTGCACAACTTATAACAGCGCAAGGATATCTGAATTTGAGCACGAACCCACTTGCCGCTCAAACGAGCACGCCTCGTTGCGAGCTCGTTGCATGCGAGCACAATTCATCGCTTATATGTATAAACGTACGTATGTAAGTTAATTTGTGCTGTCAGTCGCTTATCGTCGTTTCACTGAACTCGCTCGTAGCTGCTAGTCGTCGTCAGTTCGTCGGCGATTTTTTAGTTTACTCTCTCTCTACAAGCCCTGCTCATCCTTTTGTTCGTTCATCGTTACATATGTAATATGTATATATCTGATGCGCTTGTATGTTTGTTTTGGGTACAATGTAGGGCTTGTGAGGCTTTTAAGGCACATTTGGTGTATTTGATTTATATGAATTTGTTTGGGAGTGAAATTATGGAAAATAAATCTATTTTTTACAAGAAAGTAAGTTTTTGAAATTTAGTACTAAACTTTAATTAATAAAATGGGTTTCCAATGCCTACAAACGTAAAATAACAATTTGCATAGTACCAAATTAGTACTGAAACCAAAAATTTTGACACAAAATATTAAAATTAGTATTAGAAAGCTTATTGATACTTAATTTGGGTTAAAACAAAATCAAATTACGCGGTACTAATTAAATACTAAAAAAAGTTAGTACTAAAATAAATATAGCACTCAATAAGTATATAAACGATTTTTATTTATACTATATCTAATTGGCTGGTACTAGAAAGTACTAAAATTAGTTAGTACTAAACTCCGGAAGAAATTCTAAATAAAAAAATTACCTTCAAAATTTCTTACATGCCAACACTAAATATCAAAGGTGTAGTCAGTACGTCTAAACGACTGTCAAGTCGAACCGAACGCCCTACAGGCGGCCGAAAGGCTCAAAATCACCAACAGTTGCATGAGCACTTTGCCGATGCCGAACGTTGGTGATGGCGATGCTAGCACAGTTCAGGGATATTGTAAATGGCTATATACATATGTACATTACATATACATGGATGTATGCATATACCATATCTGTAAAAAGGCGGCGGTGTGGTCGGTGACGAAGCAGTGAGCTGTATTACGGTTTATATGTATGTAGCGAGTGGGTGGCAATAAGGTTAGCAACTGTATGCTCAAAATACATATATATTACATAGCATATAGTATATAAAGTGATATAGATGTACATAATATGCACACATATACATACATTGTATATGTATGATGTATATAAAGTGTATTTGTTTTGATTGTGGGTAAAGAAAATGGCAAGCTCATACTCGCATAAGCAAGTAGCGATAGCACCAGCAACAATAAGAACGACGAACGTAAAACCGACAATAAAGTAGAGTATAAAATAAAGGAGACGCATTAGTATGTGCGCGTGTGCGAGCGCATAATGAAATTGGGTGAAATATGTGGCAACAAAACCAAACAAAAAAAAAAATAAAAAAAGGAAAAACGAAAGCAACAAAAAAAAAAATGGGCTGCAACGGCAAGTCATGAATGCTGACTTAATAAAAACTCACCAAAGGCGCCCACAGTTCGCCACACAACAGCAGCGTTAGATAGCGTAGTCACGCCGGCAACCGTTAGCAATGAAAGGCGGCAGTAAAGAAATTTTGAACTCAACTCAATGCGTAGCTGCCACTTAACAGTAAAGTTATTATGGTTATATTTTCGGTTGATAGCGAAAAAATAAAATAATAACAACTACAACAACATGTATGTGGCTTTTTTTTATATACAAATGTGGATGGCATATTTGAGTTGTTGTCATAGTCATCATAATCAGTAAAATAAGCCGAAAATGTAAAAGAAATTGCTATAGCGTCTTGGGTGTACAGTGCGTATGATGAATTTAAGTTACTTTAATGCAACGAAATATATGTTACTCATACGCAGTGGCGGTCGCTGGTCGTGCAAACGAATTGCTGTTGCTGCTGGACGCCAGTAAATGATGGTCAGCGCATCAGAATATTATATATATGTATATATACATATGTATATGAATATATGTGTATATGTAGGCAGCTGGCGGTTAGCTGGAGTCCAGCCGCACCTTGCTATGTGTGTATGACAGTGTGCGTTGCGCGGTTTGTTTGTGGGTGGCTGCAAGTATTATCAGCTGCATAGTTTTAAAGCGTAAATTTTTTTCGGTGCGGGTCATTATATTAATTGCGCGCTTTGTACGCCGGTTTTTGTTCTATATATTCGCGTTTAAATGTTTTGCCAATCACCTATGTTTATATGTACCTATGTATGCATGTACTATGTAGATAATATATTAAAGCAAACATGCTTTAAAAATTGTAACTAATTATTTTTTGCATTTTATGCAACGATTCACCCAGTCGATTCATATTCAAATATTTTTATTGACGTCATCGGTTTTCCAATATATATTCTCATATTTTTTTTTTTACTAAATTTCAGTAATAAATCAATTATATAAAAAAATAGCTTTCTATTTTAAGCCTGTGACCACTTTCGCGTATGAAATATATTTTAACTTGCTTTCAATAAAAATCTTATGCTAGTGGTAGAACAACAAAATCTTTGAAATGCCTGACTGCATGCGAATCCGTCATAATTTAAGTAGTTAATTTGTATTTTGCTCTGAGTAAATTTATATTTAGTTGTGTAGACAAATATGTGTTTGTATATTAGTTTAGATGAGTTTCGGAACTGCTTATTAGCAATGAAAATTATTGCTGCATTTGTGTAAATTGTTGGTTTAGTCGCACTTAAGTATAGAAAGGTTTATATTTAACATAAATATACATATACTTGTATTTGAAATTTTTATATTTTATAAATTTAAAATTTTTAATAAAAATATTTAATAGCATTTTTGTATAGTTTTGAATTATTTTATTTTTGTTTTACTATTTACTTAAATTTTTTTCTTATATATTTTTGACTTTGTTAGTTTAATTTATATTTATTTTATTTTTATATTAAACAAATTTAATATTTTTAATAAAATTATTTGATAAACGTTTATATAAAAGTTATTTTTATAAGTCTTTGCATATTTTTAAAATATTTTATATTTGATTTAATATTTTATTTTAATTTTTTTAATTTGTGTTAATTTTTTTTAATATTTTGTTTTATTTTTATATTTAAAAGTTTTTATATTTTTATCAAATACTTTATTATACGCTTATTTAACTGGTTTTTGTTTTATAAATTTTTTTTTATTACGTTTATTGTTATAAATATTTTTTTAAATTTTTATTTTATTCTCTTTTATAATTTTCTATTTGCACTTTTTATTTTTATTCTTATATATATATTTTTATGAATTTTATGTGTTTTTGTGCATTTTGTAAACATAAGAAAGGAATCTTTTTTAATTTTTTATTTTAATAACTTTAAAATTTTTTATTATTATTAATATTTTGTTAATTTTAAACGTTTGTTTACATTTTTTGTTTCTGTAACATATAAAATTATATTTTTCAGCTCATTTATTCATTCAATAAATTCAAAATATGTGGCAATTGTGATTAGATTTGCCTAAATCGAATTGTAACGATAAAAAAATGTGACTTTCCCACATCATCAGCAAATATATGGGTCAAAAATGCAAGCTTTAAAATATACATATATACATTACTGCAAACATAACCCATATGGTAACTCATAAAGCTCCCAAAAAACCCCTGCACGTATTCATTAAAGCAACAAGTTATAAATTTTAACCGCATTTATAGCAGAAATCGCCACCACCAACCGCATAATCGACAAGCGCGTAAGCACAGCGAGTCAACAAGCAAAGCAAGGGTCCACAGAAGCGGCAAATTGGCAGAAGAGGCGCGCTCCGCCCGCAAAGTATCAATGAAGCAGACGAAAACCATTAATAAGAGGCAAGCAATGTGCACACGATTACTTTTTTGACAAGTGAAATGGGCAGCATGAAAAGCTTGGAAAAGGATGAAAGGCAAATGTGAAAATAACTGTCTGCACGCACACACATATACATACTATATGTATGTAAAGAGGTATAAGTAGCGCTGCTGTTTACAAGGAAAACGTGAAAAAGTGGCGAAATTTAAAATCAGCTGTTTACGTGAGGCAGCAACGACGGGCGTAGAAAATGAGTGCAGCTCATGCGAGTGAGCAAAGAAGAAAGTGTGTAAGAGCTTTTGAGGGTAAGTACGCAAGCTGTATGGCATGTTGTAGTAATTAAATTGTAATATAATGGTAAATATTGCAGAGCAGAGATGCTGAGATAATGAAGTGCATTGCAGCACAGGACATTTTAAGTGAGTTGATCGACTTTTTAAACGATTTTGTGAATTTGTTGAAAGTAAAATATAGGTTGCAGGATTTTTTCAAGAGAAAAAATATTAAACAGCGTAAGTAAAAGAGTTAATATGAGACAAATAAGTACTTCTATATTCATTATATGCATTTACAAGTGCTTATGTGTCACGTAAAATAGCGTTAACATGCCACAAAGTGTAGCACGGCAAGCCGTAAGACGTTTGATGGACACAATGCACACTATTTGCATATGAGCATCATAAATTGATAAATACTAATAGAAAAATAACAACAAATGCTTGCCACTACCGAACAAACAACAGGTTAGAGTCAAGCGCGTTGTCAAACACGGCGCGACCGATTTTAGTTAAGTGCTAAGCAACCTGCACTTCTGACGTTACTCGCGCCGTGCAGCGCCAAATTTCGGACGACAATACGCGCAAACTTTTAACTCTTCTGTCGTCGAACGACGACGATATTCGGACACATGCAATACATATGCTTATGTGTGTATACAACATAGTTACAACTGCCATTGTTGTGAAAATCGAAACAACAACGAACAAGCCCAACAAGCGAGCCAACCCACCCACTTCATGTTGCACGTAGTTATGCTGGGGGCACCGCGCTCGAGGTCTCGTCGCTGAAATATATGCCCAACAAGCAACAGCTACTTGCAACAACGCTGTTGTAGTGCGTGCAACATGCTCGTTTAATACGTTTTGCACACATTCAGAAAATCGAAATTTACTACCCGCCGCTTGGTCGCATGTCCATACATAGAAATTTTATTATAATTGCTGTCGTAGCGATTGTTGCGCTTCGAGTTTAACCCACATCAACGTACATTCACAGGCATGCATTTGTTCACTCGTTCGCCGTTTGGTCTTGAGTTGGTCGTCTTGTTTGGTCGTTGGTTGGCTAACAACTGAACCGGCGCGCCAACATTTAACGCTATTTATGAATAAATATCGCACATCATCCCATACACCAGTAGCAGCAGCTGCAGCCGCCGTCGTCGTTGTAGTCGTCATCAGCATCGTCGCCTCTCACAAGATGTTGCAAAAGTGCGCGCACTCAGCAGAGTAATTGCTATAACAGCAGCAATAGCTTGGTGGTGATGCTGCTACTGTGTTGGTGGCAGGCAATGCGGCGGCAACATTAAAAGGCGCTTTTTGGCTGCTAGCTGCGGGTTTTGGGGTTTATGCCATTATTGGCAGCATGCAAAATAGCAGCACTGGCACTGCGCGCCACTTGTCGTTATGTATGGCATATATGTATGTATGTATTTGTGTTGTTGCCATAAATGAAAATGAGCACGACTTTTGTGGCATGTTAAGTAGTGGTAAGGATAACAGCAGTCGCAGCATGCCGCTAACTGTTGTTTTTTGTTGTTGTTATATCTCCTTTATATTTTTTCTACATTATGGGAATGCCCGTCTGCGCTTTCGTTTTAATTTTAAGGTTACTCTTTTCCATTTATTTTTATTTGTTAATTGCTGCCTGACCACCTGATTGCTAGCGTTGCTCTTTGCAGCGTACTTATTGTTTTATTTGTTGTCTTATCACTGCGCGTCTCGCATTAAAGGTTGCAATTTAACTGCCTGCTACGTTGACCTATTATTGCTGGTCTATATTCTCAGCATGATTATTGTTGTTTTGGTGATTTGTTGCATAAATTGGTTTGCCCAGCCTTAGCGCTCAGCTGTTCTTTAGACTATTGCTGCTGGCGCGCTGATAAGGCAGGTGCAAGCGCTGTGTACTGTTGTGGCAGTAAAATTATGCGAAAGTATAAAAAATCATATTTTAAAATTTTAACACACTTTGTTTTGACTTTTTCGTATTGTAGTGTAACTTTTCCACTGTTTGCGTCGTAATGAAAGCGAAAGCCAAACAATTAACAATAAGAATGATGACAATTAAAAATGTCTGTCTGTATGTATGTATATACACATTTCTTAATGTTCGGCAAGTCACAATATGATTTTGTAATTATTATGACGCTGAGTAAATGGCGCGGCGGCACAAACAACAACCAACCAAATCGCCGCGGCCAAAGCAATGAATGAACGGAAGCAGTTTTAATGCGTGACGCGCCGACAGCAGGAGATGTTTGCGTTTGTTATTGAACAAAAGAAAAAATGTGGTCGAGTTTTAACTTGGCGGATGTTAAGCGCGCAGCAATCTTGCTGATGTGGATGATGTCGACGTTGACGCTGTCAACGCGTTGCGGCGCGTCGCAGCGCTAGCGAATGTAGCGACTACGCGCGCTCTTAAAGATTAGTGTCTTTAAAGGTGCATGATTAAAAAGCACACATACCTGTGTACATGCATAAAAAGCGCTAAGCGCTCACTAACACTATGCGCGCGCGTGTGCTTTTGAGCAGAAGTAATTAATGTCGTTGAAAATGTTCGGTATTTCTTTATTGCTTGAATGGTGGAGGAAATTATTGGTTAGGTGTTTATGCTTGTTTGCTTTGTTTTTGTACCATTTTTTTTTTGTTGTGAAAGCGCTGCAAAAAGATAAACAAGTGGTGTGTGTTGAAAATTTGCCGAGCAAAACAAAGAATGTGAAAAATTCAAACTAGCCAACTACGACAACCACAGACAAATAATAACGACAACAAAGGTCATGTCGTAATTACCAAAATATGTGCGCGCATTTATAGAAATGTTATGAAAAAAGTTGTCGCTGCCGGCGTGCAACGTTGCATGCAACAGAATACAATGAGCAAAAGTTATGTCTGTATGTATGTAAAATATAGCGAAGAAAGCACAAACTTCAAGCGTTAAATTGACAGCACGGTCTGCCCTTGGGCACAACGCGCCACGTTGAATGAGTGCGGCAGCATTAGCGATAGCGTGAAACAGCGCCAAGGGGCAGCGAGGCAGAAAACAAATATAAAAACAAAAATCATAAGAACAGCACGTGCATTGCAGCATAAATATTTCAGTGTTTGTAAGTGACTTGTTACACCGCTAATTTGGTTTGGTAAAGGATGTTCATGCAACACCTGTGTTTTAGTTGCTTTTTTCCGCACATGTTGCATGCAGGCAAAGATTGGTATGATATTATTGCAACATATGTGTATGCATATAAATATCATACCAATCTTGTCTGATTTTTTTTAGATATTTCTGTGCAAAATATGTTTTGGAATTAAAAAAATTTAAAAAATTAAAAAAAAAAAATATATAAAAGTTAGAAATAAGCAGCGGAAAGTGCGCTTAAAGGAAATAAAAAGTTTTCGCCAACTTTTCTAACATTATATGTGCGCCGCAACGTAATGTTGCACGCACTTTAGCCGGCTTTTGTGTTTTGTTTATTGTTTGCAGCAGCCAAGAAAGGAAGGCAGTTTGCCACACAAGAATGCAAGTTTTGCTAACTTTTCCGCATTGCATGCACACTAGCAGATGTTGTTTATGTTGCTCCAACGTTTGCGCTTATTTTTTCTGCTTTCTTAAGTAACTTGTCATGGACTCGCTGCTGACGTACGTTATTTGCTACGCAAAAAAAAAAAAATCAACAATAACAACAAATAATGTGTTTAGGTGATTTATTTGTGAATAAGGAATGCAGCATGCAACCTTGCAACACGTGCTATGACGTTAAGGCAAAATCAACAAAGGCTGTTGCGCCTCGAATGCGGCAGCTGTATTGGTGCTGCTGGCATGTAGGGAGCCGCCGACAAGTGCAATTCACATTTATATATATATATTTATCTATATGATCACTAAAACGTTTGTCGCACAGCTATTTCTCATTCGCAAGCGCCAATAAAGACTCGTCTCGGTGCTACGTTTGCTTGCAACATGTGCCTCTGTTTTGATCTAAGCATATGTATGCGCCCACAGCTACTCAAACATACATATGTGTGCGTATTTGCGCTGTTTGTATGCATCTGCTTCCCAAAGACACACATTCACCCACCAATTGCGGGGAGGCACAGCGTCGACTTCGTTGTAGCTTGTCTGCCTTTGCCTGCATGTTGCATCGACTTACAGCACTGTTGTGGTTGTGCAAAGCGCCACTTTACACGTTAAGCGACTCACCGCTAGGATGCTGCTGCGTAGTCATATGTTCGTATGCCTATATGTTTGTTGTTGTGTTGCTTTGCTGATAAGGCTCGGAAATTGGCGTAACCACATGTTGGATTTGAAATTGGTCGGTTGCAAGTAGGATTAACATGCAGTTTGGCGCTATCAGCTGGTCAGTTATAACATTATGCTTCAAAATGCGTCTAGTCAACTTTTCGTTGTTGTTATTTCATTATAAATTTGCAACACTTGTTTTGGTATTAGTTTTGTGCCTGCGCTTATGTGTGCGAAGGACATTCTAGGATATTGAAGGTGTGCAAATTAATAGCTTATAATCACCAGGAAGGCAAGGGTTAATAGCACTTAAGTGCTTGCCAAGCTAGAGCGTGTATGTATGAAAGTGTAGACAGCAGAAGGACATTAATTAAATGCAGTACTGCTGAATTACAGACAAAGTGTGTGGTTAATTGTTCAAAATCATATTTTTTGACTTAAGCATTTTAGATTTTTAAAGCTATATTTAAAATTATCAAAATAAAGACAACTAAATTTAGTTAAGGACACATGCTGCTGCATTTGGTTTTGAAATAGTGTACTCTAAATAGCCTAAAGCATCTAAGCTTTTAAAGATTTCGGCAACTTTTTATTTTTTTTTTAATTTTTTCAATATACAAGTAATACTCTCAAATAGTAAGCATTTGCTTTAATTGAAACTATTTGTGTGAAATGTTTCTAACTTCTTCTACGTACTACTATTATCACTAGATATTTATTTTCCCAACTCATCATTTTCTATTAAAATTAATTATAATTTAATAAATAAGTTTCAATTTGCAAGTTTTTCTTTCATGACTACATTGCAATTCTTTGAATTATCCTTGTTGGGACAGTAGTCTTTATTAAGAATCCGCAAAACCACAAATTACTCACTTATTCTTTACGCAGTCAGATCTACATACACTCATCGACTTTCGATATTATTTGCTCCACCGTGTGTCATGACTTTTTAGCATTATTCATGTAGTAGTTGTCAATTTTAAAAATATCTAAATAATTTGAATTAACATTAAGCGTGAAAAAATACTCACGAGTTTGGATAGAAAAAGTTTTGTGAAAAAATTGTCGATGTATACAGAGGTGTCACTTTTTCTAAATACTCATGGTGATACATAATTTTTATAGACTTTAAAGAAAAGTTAACTCTTAAACTCAAACTTAAATCTTATGAGTATCTCTACATAAAACGGTAAAAATTTAAAATATAATATATCTGAAGCTAGTAAATGTGGAGAATATTGCAAAGAACAGTTTATAATAGTTATTGTATCGTTAAAATTGTTTTTGCAATCAAAATAGAGCAATGTCATCGCATCGTTTTTTATTAATGCCTAAAAGGTGTTTTGAAAATACTTATTTTCATATCAAAAGGCCTAAGAAATAGCTTTTTCTGCGTATTAGAGCAAAGTGGCATATAAAACAGCGAAAAGTAATTCAAACAGATTTCGGAAAATATTATTGAATCGTATGCAATTTTAAAAATATCTAAAGCACGTTATATAGTGAATAGTATAGATCTATTTTGAATTATTTTCGAACTGAATAGAATATAAAGCAGGCTTGAAGTGAAAATTAATGCTTACAAATTCTTAAAAACATGATCGAGCCAATAACGAAGCTGGCTTTTTGCCTACTGATTGAAATAAAAAAGTTATATTAACCTAGTTCAGAATTATTTTGAATTTATGCACTCTTTAAATAGGTAAGCTAAGCAAAATTATTTAAAATTGTATATATTTTATACAAATGCATTTTATATTAAAAATTTAAAATATTCAAAATTTTAAAGTAATAAAAATTTTTGGTTTCGAAAATGAGTGCTGCTTAATTTTGAATTCGTTAAATATGAACAATACAAAATTTTTTAACAATTCTGTGCATAATATTATACAACTGCAAAATAGTTCGCTTTAATTTTTAATTGCTTATCACTGCTATTTTAAATAATAATTTCTGCAATTATTAGTTAGTAGTTTTTATAAAACGCATATAAGTCTAAACGTTGTCGTTAGGGTTTTGAAAATTTTTATTTAAAATATGTTGTTTAAATATTGATTCGAAAATTATAGTGATTACTAATTAAAAATACTTTTTTGAACTACTTTTTCAATACAAAAAAAAAACATATAAGAAAATGTTTTAAAAAATAGTGTTTACAACCATTTTTTATAATGTTACTCTTCCTTGCTCTACCTAAATGCTAAAATAAATCATAATAGTCCCCAGCGCTCACTATTTTACTGCGCCCAAACAGCAAGCGCTATTCCCCTGCACTATACACAAGCCAATTTGCTGCCAATACAATTATAATGTTAGTTTCGAAATGTGAGCATAATTTTATTTTTCAAAAACTTACCTCAGTGCACATTATAGTTTGAAAATAATAAAATATACAGTTGCCACTGTTTTTGCTTAGTGTAAACTCCAATTGGTTGCTACTGCTGCGCTTGCTGTTCTTTAGCTACGTGCGCTTGTTGCTTTTATTGGCCAGAAATCATAAACCGACAATTTGAAGTTATGATTTTTTTTTGTAGTTTCTTCCAAAATAATTGTGTTCTTCTTATGTTCTTTGGGCGCTTTTTTCTAATACTTTTTGTTGCTGCTATATGGTATATAGTTAGTTTAGAGCGTTCACAAAAAGTTTCTGCAAAATATGCGTTTTGTTGCTGCTTCTAGTTCTAATAGTTGTGTTATGCTTACTTATGGTACGCACTGTTTTATTACACTTGCTTATTGGCGCTATTCTACTTGTCACTTGGTAGTGCTAGCAGTTGTTGTTGTTGCTGCTGCTGCACTTGTGCGTGGTTTTGCGCGCTTATTGTATTTGCCACAAGAGGTGCTTGCTTGCTGCCGCTTTGTTTACGCCACTCAATGCGGAAATCTGCTGATTGTTGTGCATATGCATACATATACACAGAGACGTTAAGATGCTGCAACAACTTTGGTATTTGCACTGTTTCTCTACTACTTGTTAACGTTGCTGTTGTTGTTCCTGCTGCTGCTTTTTCGGCAAATGTCAATGTGTTTTATTGCTAGTTGGTTACACTTGACTTTGGTTTACTGGCTCAAGCGGTGTTGTTTGTAGCAGAGCGCGCGTTTTTTGGTGCAATTGTTGTTGTGTGCCGAAATTTTTTTGTACAAAATGCACTAGTTTCTTATAGTAATACTTGAGTGGAATTTAGTTTTAATTTTTACAAATTTTATATTTGCACAGTACGTTGTTGTCACTGGTTTGCTGAGTTGTAATTTGTGCGGCAAACTTAAAAAATCTTTTCGGGTTCTTTTCTAGTTGAAAATTCACTTGTCTTCTCCAAAACGCCACAACTCACAGTCACATTCCATACAAAATTCCAAAAATGTCACTTTTCAACTGTCACTTGTCATTTGTTGTGTTAGTTTTGATTTCGAAAATATTTTGTTTTTGAATTTTTGTTGCACACAACATTCTTTTGTATTCTCGTTCACATTTACTATACACTTTGTTATGTTTTGCTTACTTGCTTGAAACAAATGATTTTTCGGCAAAATATTGTATACGTTTATTTGTTGTTGTATAGCTGCTTATTAGTAATATTTATATATATTTTTGTTTAGTGGAAACAATCACGTACGCGCGTTTTTTTTTTTTTTGGAATGAAAAATATACACGCGTTGTCATTACCCTATTGACAACTACTAGCTAGGCTAATGTGTCGGCGGCGCTACTATAGTGTTAGCTTTGCACAAAAAATATTTCTTCTTTTCGACGAGACTACGACGAAACGAGCTAGCGAACGAACGAACGTGCGTGCGAGCGACGTTGTACCTTAGTCTACCATGCTAAAATCACAAATAATCTGGCAAACCGAAAGATACGTTCACCAGAGGCACACAGTAGAAACGCTCGAAAATGTGTTGGCTGCGTCGACTGCGCTGCCGACAGTCATTGTACATATAACGTCGCTTCGTCGCGTCGCTGTCGTCGTCATCAACAAAATGTATCTGTGTGTATGTGTGCTATGTGTTGTTGCTTAAGCCACACAGCGCACCCGACAATAGCACACTTACACACATATGCAAGCAAGCAAGCACTCACATATACAAACAGCGCGTTTGTGTGCTGCAGCGTTGACTCGTTTCCCCACTGCGTTTCGTTTTGCCCAACTTCGTGTGGTAATCTTCATCGTGTGTAGCGCTCGCTAGCTATCTACCTCGTCTCATACATATTGTATGTGTGCATATAGGTATATACAAGTGTATATGCACGTTTTATACCCAATAATCAAGCAGGCAAGCAAGCGTTGCGCCAACGTTTCGTTCAACAGTCTGTTTGTCGGGCTGGCAGCGAGGCGAACGTTTTGTGTACGTACCTACCCAGTTGTCGGCATAGTCGTAAATGTGGGCACGGCACAGTGGGCTTTTCGTTTTTGGATACGTTAAAATTGTAAGACATTTTGGTAAACAGAGTTTTGAAATATTTTCTATGAGAAGTTTCAATTAAAATTTAGCTGATTAAAAATATATAAATGGGTTTCTTTCTAATACGAAAGGTGTACACAATTAATCTATAAGATTCTGTCGCACATGTTACTCTTTTCAGTTCTTCTACTAATTCAGCGTCTCTATTGAGTTGCCCGTTGTCCAAATCTAAAATTTTTAATAGTTTCATAGCATAAATGTCGCCCTATAAATGGTCACAGTCGATTTTCAACACATCGGCTTAACAAAAAAATCGTCAAGTATCCGAACCACATTCCTTAATGTTATGTACATATGTATGTCACATTGCTGCTTTCTAATTATAAAATAATATCATAGTTTTTGATTTGGATTACCTATTGGATTCGAGAAATTGCTAAGAAATTAAAAATACCTTTAAAAATCATTATGAAACATTTGATGTGTCTCTGAACTTTCTTAATCGTGAATTTTTGTGTGAGGTTATCACAAAAAAATGAATCTATAATTTTCCAGGGGTTATCAGCTAAAGTTTTAAGAACGCCGAGCAATAACTTGGATCTGTGAAGTTCCAACCCCTGAATAGAAGCGTGGTACTACATTAAGATTTCTAAAAGGTTGTTTAGAAAAAAACTAAGGAATAGAAAAATTGGAAAGAGAATTATAATATAATTTTCCATATAATGTTTTATCGCATATCGATAGAATGGGTCACTGTGTCTCGTCGCTGTCGGTCGCAACTTGTCTGCATTATATATTGGGCGTTGTTGGTGTTGTTGCTGTTATGGTTGCTTGTTACGAGTTCGTTCGCCAGCACAAATAGCATAGCAGAGTCAGCAACAACGGCTATGTGGAGAGTGTAGTGGCAAAATAAGTCAGGTGCGTGCAGAGTTAAGGGTTCGGATATATCACAAATCAAATCTTAAATATGGTAAAATTAAAATTAAATAAATGAAAGATATATAAAATATTAAATTTTGCAATCCTATCATAACGCAATTTGGCAATAATGAGTTTATATGCTTATATAAAACCGATCAGAAAACGCTCGTTAAAAGTTAGTAATGCGAGAGTAAATTATAACGAGTTATATATCAAGTTTCAGAGCGCTCAGCATTTTGAAGGTCCTGAGATTAAAGAAGGGCTTAAGTCGTGAGATATGAAGAGAGAGTGATTGCGTTACGCTATCGCTATCAACAGTCCAAGCTACGAACAATCCGAAGAACTATGCTCAATTGTATCTTAAAAAAAATATATCCTACAGACAGACAAAGAGAGACATTCTTTTTCACGTTACAAATTTTCGGCTACATTGTAGTCGTTTTTAGGATAGTGAAATGCGCATATAACGTACCCACCTCAGAACGATCGAACAATCGTTTGAAAATTACGAATATAATCGTTTTTCTTTTTACCATTAAGATACCCTGAAGTGAGGACCCTCTTAAACATTGAACTACCTACACACCACTGCCGACAGCTACGAGCCTGACTAAAGGTACGGCGGAGCTGCGGCAGAGGAAAATTGAGCACACGAAGCGAAGCAGGCAAGCAATTGAACGAACGAACGAACGAAAATTGACAGCAATGGCAGCGGCGAAAGCAACAAAAACAGCAGCAAACAGAGCGACTGACTGCCAAAGTGTATTGTTGTATATACGTTGGTGTGTAGCGATGTGCGTTCCTGCTCTGACTCTATATGTATGCATTAAATGTGCCCTGCATGCATGAAGGTGCGTGTGTGTGTGTTGGTGTGTCGGGCATGGAATCGCCCGTCGTACGGTTGTTGTTGCTATTGTTATGCTTTGCTGTTATTCTCTATCGCTTCTTGTATGCATGTGTGCGTGTGACTGTATCCGTGTGTCTGTGTGTGAATGCGAATGTACACTTTTTCATTCCTCCATTCACCTCGTTCGTGCCCGTACTTCGAGCATACTTCAACGTGCATACATAAAATATGTATATGTGTGTGTATACACATTTAACAATACCGAGGAAGTATGTACATACAAAAATACAAATTCGAATGCATATATACAGCAACAACAATACACATACATATCTACAGAAATATGTGCACACAAGCGTCGTTGGTATTTAGGTACGTTGGCACGTATATACAAGCGCTCATATATATATTTACAATGCATATATACATATGCACATTTGTATCTACAAAAAACCCATCCAACTCAACGCGACTCAGCTCGGCTATCGTCGCATTTCAGCGCTCCGCGCCGCGCCGCAGCACCCTAAAAACTGCTGGTTGTACTGCTGTGGCGAGCGTGAGCAAGATAGCGCTAAATAAAATAATAATAATATTGCCAGTTGGGTTTTTATACCAAAAACAAAAAAAAAATACATTTTATGCTCTGTGAATGTTTTTCCCTCAACACCAGCAACTTGAAACGAACTTTGTGCATGCTGAATATTTAGCTGGTGCTGGAGCTGGTCGTACGTTTGCTAAATGCTAGCGTTGTAGCAGTAAAAAAAGCAAAAATAATAACCGCTAACAGCAAATAAGCCAGCAATCTAGTAGCGTTCGCTAGCAAACAAGTAAGTTGGCAATAGCATGAGCCAAGCGCTGGAAGACCTCATTTACGCACACATGCATAAATATCAATAATCAACTTGCTTATGGTGTGTTGGTGAAGCCACACAGGCTTTTCAGAAGGCTCTGCGAAACGGATATGGCACACATACAAGCACAGTTTAACATGCATGTGTGGGCATACTCGTAAAGCTTCTGCACGGATATGCGTCAAAAAGCCGCGCAACCGATCGATAAGTTGTTGGCGAACGACAGGATCTGCTGGCAGATGAGTTTTGTGCGCCGGTATAGCAGGTTGGGCGTTTATAAATTTATTAAATAATAAAATGTAGCTGATTTTTAACAGTTCCATTTGAATTTTGGAATAAGTATACTAGCACTGTCTGTGTGCCTCCTGTAAAATCGAGTGAACTATTTATTAGAATATTCGACAGACATTTTTTTTTGAGGGAATAATATTTATTTTGCTTTAAAAATTAATAACAAAATTTGTTATATATTTCATATTCCAAATTAATTAAATATGATTATATCCGAAAAAGTTTAAAAATCCCAATTTTCTGTTATTATTCGAAAAAAAACTGCAGATTAAAATCACGATTCAACCGAAATTTGAGTAATTGTAAACTAAATCCTTTGAAGCAAAATTTTTCTGATACAGAAATTTAGTTTCTAGTGCAACTTGTTACTTCCAAAGCTGTTTCAAAACTTGGTATTTGTCGATAGGTGGTAACGCTGGTTCAAAATACCTCCAGAATTATTTAAGGTATTTTTAACCATCTTACACCTGGCATACATTTTGTTAAACTTATTTAGCTTAGCTTTATGTTTTCGATTTTTTATTCCAAAACATGTCAAAGTTAGAGACTTCTTAAGAGGTTACATGAGTTTCCTCGAGCCAAAAGCGGTATATTTTCAATAATTATTTTTCATATAAAAAATTTAATATTTTATTCAAACTTTTTATTATTCCAAAGATACATATTTTACATAGGTTTTGTGAATTTCTCAAAGGAAAATGCTCAAAACTCCGCCATTACGACGTCATTTCCGGCAGTCTCTCGGAAATAAGATGGATCGATTTTACAGGATCGTCTGAAATAAGAAGAAAAAATACGTGTTAATTACCATAAACTAGGTATTCGACGAAAGAAAGAAAAGTGAAAATTGTATATTTGACAGACTTTTTTTTTTACAAAAAAATCCGAATTTGGGTGAACATTTGAAAACTTTCCGTTTGTAATCTATTTTGTATGATTTTATCTTTTCCTTATTCGAAATTTTGAGTTTCCCAGGAATCACACTTAGATCGATATCTCGAAAAATGATTGAAGACAGTATAGTCATAAACAATCTACTTTTAAAGATTATTTTTCTTTAAATGTGTATTCATGTTTTTGCTATATTGGTCCGATCTGAGCAATTTGTTCGAAGTTTTTAAAGATGCCTTAAATATATGCCAAATTTCGTAAACCCAAAATATATTTACAAATAAAAAAGTTGTGCATATAAGGACTTGAATTTCATTTGTCAGTTTGTATGGTAGCTATTGTGGTCCGATATCGGCGGTTCCGACAAATGAGCAGCTTATTGAGGAGAAAAGGACGTGTGAGAAATTTCAGATCGACATCTCAAAAGCTGAGGGACTAGTTCGCGTATATACAGGCGAATAGGCAAATGGATATGTCTAAATCGGCTCAGCTCGTCACGCTGTTCATTTAGGTAATTCCTTACCTTCTTAGATTTACTTTTATTAATAATCGAATAATATATTCAATTATAATGCAAGCCAGTGAGAGATGCGCCAGTTATCCCTTTTTTAAGATTATACTTTATTTGAAAAGTTTCTCTGACAAATTCGGTCATTCCCTATCAGCTAACTTTTTCAGAAGCTTTCAATCAGGTTTTTAGGGAAATCCACGTCTATATTTAGATCTATAGATATCTATCTCCAATCGTGTCTGATATATTTCATTGTTTGCGGCCATTTTGGATTGATCTGCCCATTATCGCCCTTTTAGATTCTGCTCACCTGAATTACCTTTTTATCCCCTAAAAACAATATCCCACATGTTTTACATTTCAAAAGCCATACAACCGTCAACAATCTTATCTTCGTAGCAAGCAGCTTTGTAAGCTGTAGTCAGGGCTACGAAACCGAAACGAACATGAATTTACCATACATTCGGAAATAACTTTTACCTCTGCAAGATTCAGTTTGGGAATTAATTTTACTAGAACTCAAATTTTGTAATGAAGTATTTTAATTCGTATTATAAAAAGCAGGGTGTAGGAGCGGTGTAACGGCTCTATTGTCTCTTAGTTGTCAATTGTCTCGTAAAAATTCTAGCACTTGGTAGTTTCATCTTTTAAAAAAGAGGATTCCACCTTTTTTCAGGTTTGAGCTGACCAGATTATCTTAAATATTTAAACTTCGATTTTTTCAAACCCCATATAGTTGGAGCCGAATTAGGCAGTATAGGTAATATTAAAACGGTGGAATCTGGGACAAAGTACTTGCGAACATATCACTTTTTTTTTAAAAAGGTAACATGCTCCCAACTCAAGACTTTCCCACGTAACCACCTGATTAAGTATTACTCCGTGGTAATGACAATACATTTGAAGTCTCGTCGATGGCTTCTTTTCAGCTGTCGAATAAATCCTTTGCCTATGCATTTAGTAGTGTATATATAAGAGAGAGACCAATATTGGTGCTGTGGACAGTGGGATGGATGCCCTTAGGACTTTTCACATCAATCTGTCGATCGGTAGTGATCTCTTTAAGCAACTATTTCTTCGCACTTTAGGCGCTCGTATCACGGTACATATCCTGATACTTTGTAGAAAGACGCTTTCATCGTCTGTGCGACACCGGCGAACGGCAGTCTACGAATGGTAACGCTATACGAAGGCTTTTTTGCCACTTACTGCCTTATGCCACATTGTCAATTCCGTCGAGTGGGCAAATGTGGCAGGAAAATAAGAATACACGAGCCATACACTAACGAAGCTAAACAACAAAAACTACCGCAGAGTGGTCGAGAAACATTAAATTATGAGTGCGCAGGGTTGCCGGATGAGTGCATACAGCCTTTACCGTTATAACAGGCAAGAACGATTTGAAGCGATGAGTGTTGCCAGATTGTACGTGCCCATATATGAATTTTTAGCGGTCGTTCTGCAGCTACGACAAGGTTGGTAGCAAAATAATGGCAAAAACTAGGAAAACGTATTTCGTGCGAACACAATAACGACGTAAATAACTAAATTGCAAGTGCATACACATACACCCATACATCGCTATATGCATTCGTGTGTGGGTGACGAGGGTCGGCGGTGGTGAGTGCAGTCTGGGTCCGGTTTAAGTGTGCTTATGTTTTTGTTGCGCTTCGGCACGAACACCATTCGTTGGCGGTTCGTTTATGAAATCGTTTTTGTTGGTGGTTGTTTTACTGCTGCAGCGACCGATGAAATATACTCGTATAAGCGAAAAGGAAAATTCGAAACCCAAGTCAGCAGTGCTAGCGCAGCATACATACATATAACTCGATATTTTGTTCGCACACACACACACACACACGCCCTAACACAATATACATATCTCTCTATGCATCAATATGTATTCGGTGGGGTTGTTTACCGTTGCTGTCGATTCTACACAACGTAAATTTGCCTGTGCTGCTTCAGCGTATTTGTTCAATTTTACAGCGCACTTTGGTAATAGAGTACGTATGTACTCGTAAATTCATACATTTTTAAAAAAGAAATTTCTACTTTTGAGTTTTACTTTATGTGGCAGCACTGATCCCGCCTTGACAGCTCAATGCAATTGTCAAAAAATTCTGTGTCCTTCAAGCCGATTACCTGTGGGTGTGTGGTCGTTGTGTTTATATGGGTGTGTTGTATGTAGATGCGCTTGTAGTGGTGTGGCGGTGTGGCGAAATTTAGAAATAGTTCATTACTGCTGTGGCGATTCAAAGTTTGTTTCAGCTCAATATTAATTCTTTGGAGGGTTATATCAAAATTATTTGAAAACATACGAGTACACATTAAATTTGGCTAGAAATATCCATAATGAAAGATTTTTTTATTTAAAGATTTTTTTAACTAAAGTTATTTAGCGCTAAAATGAGTTCGACGCGAAATATTATATTACTTATGTACATATATCTATTTATAAAATAATATATAATATTAAATTCATATGTATGAAACAATTGTTCATTTTGTCCTTTTATATGATAAACAGGAAATTTTTTGATACTGTTTTCAGATGCGACAGTAAAGATCTATTTGATTTATAGCTAAACGGATAATAGTTGAGTTGTGGTTATTTGATAGAAAATTTTAATTTTTTTATTTTAAATTCTTTTCTCCAAAATTTTCTCATATTAATTTTTTAATTTTTGCCTTTAAAAACGTTTTCCTGAATTCGACGTTGAAAAATATATGCAGAAAAAATTTCATTAATTTTGGTGAAATATTGATATTAAAAAATCCGTTTTTTGAGTTTTTACCTGTTTTTTTTCTGGTTTTGATTCGCCAATAGAACCTTTGGATATTACTGAGGAACCTCTGCAGAAGTTTTTCTGAGAAAATGAAGCAAATCGGAGAGGCGCGCATTCGGAAGAATCGCCAGAAGTATTTATGTACCATATTTTATATAGTATGTATTTTGTTGTGGAAATAAATAACGAGGGCAAAAATATATTAGTGTTTCTAGTTATCAGAAGGCTTCGCTAGAATTATACTCGAATGTAGAAGTTTGCAGTGAGATCCCTTCAGAGACATACAAATTTTTTCATTTTGAAAAAATACATACATACATATGTATATATATATATATAGATAAATGTTCGTGGAATTTTTTTGTTCTCAGAATTTAAAAGAATGCTCTCTGGAAAAACAATTAGCGACATTGAGGAGATTATCACCGATAGTAATACCTATTTTGGCGCAAAAGCCAAGCCGTACTACAAAAATGGAAAATATGTTAAAAATATGTATGTACATGAGACTTCTACATAATTATCATTTTATGTATAGATGGCAACCAGTATTGCAAATAATGCATTAAACATATAATTGAATTAACTTTTGAATAAATTTCTTTTTAACCCAAATGCGGGATTAGAAAAAAATAGTCCCAGATTAAAAATAAAATAAAATTGTAATTCCGAAACCGGATTGAAAAATATAAAAGAAAAATTTGAATCTTAAGCACATATGTAATTAAGAATAAAAAAAATAATTCGTTTAAGAATTAATATTTTTTTGTGTATATTCAAATCATATTTTCCCAACATCGGGATTACAAAATGAAAATCTAATTTTAGGTACCAAGATCGCGATTAAAAATAAAAAATAAATTTTTAGTTAAAAAATAAAAATTTAATTTTTAATCCAAAAATTGTTAAATATAAAATTCGCAACCCTGAATGCACCCCGCCCTAATAAAAAAATTTTTAAACTGTAAGCTTACAAACCCTACTTGTACATCATACATAGTGACTTTATGGAATTAATTTAACTGATTCAAAAATGTGAATAGGTGGCAACCCTATTTAAAAAATATTTACAGTTATAAGCCTCCTTATTCTTATTTGGATTGTTGTCATATGATGATATTATATTTATTTTATAAATTTTATTGAAATAAATTTTTTTTTACAATTTCAAATCTAAGCTTTCTTAAACCTCTTTATTGGAGGTTTCTTTTATCTTATAATTGCTTTTACCCAAAATTTCCAAACATAAAATAATGTTTCCTAAAAAGCATCCGACTTTAACAACGGTCAATAGAAAAAAATATTCAATTCGGAGTTGACTTCACTAAGGTTAGCGCTCTGTATATGTTTATATAGCAGCTATATGCTATAGTGGTCCGCCGACTGTCTGTATATACGCGAACTTTTTGAGATATAGATTTGAAATTTTGCACACGTACGTCCTTTTTTCCAGATAAAGCTGCTCATTTATAAGAACCGCCGATATTGGAGCACTATAGAATATAGTGGCCATACAAACTGTACGATCAAAATCATATCCTTGTAGAGAAAACTTTTTTATTTGACGATATACCTTCATGAAATTTGGCTTGGATTATTTACCCAACTCAACGGTACAATCTCCGATATAAATTGTTCGTACGGACTTCTATTTACCATATCCCATAGATGTCAGACAAACTGACGGGTCAAGTTCTTGTGGAAATGGTTATGGAAACATTTTTATTTGTGAATGGTATTATACGTAGGTGCAACCAAGGTTAACGTTTTTTCTTATGGGTCTTCGACCAACTACATCAACAAATCACCAGCTCTTCTCCCTTAAAATGTTAATATTTTAAATTCAACTGCCATTAATCGATTGCATAGTCAATTGGATTTGAATTTCGTATACACCTGTACGCTGTAACGTTGCCAGATTGCATGGAAATCACCACGAATATGCAACCAAAGACGGTGGCTGGCGACAACCCACCGTTGGACCGACTCGAACTCGTATGCGGTGAGTTGAATTCTTTATAGCGCCGTTGCTGCTTTGCAATCCGCACACCAAACAGCAATGTCCTTGATGGATTTTTACTGCCATTTTGCTAGTAATGTGTAGGCACCCGACCAAGCTGCATTGCTGTTGCTGCATTCGCTATTTGCCGCTATTGTTTGCTGTCATTGTGCATAGAAAAAAGCTCCGAGTATATGGCGGCATGGTTGCATGGTTGCATGGTTGCATGGTTGATGAGAGAAATGCCAACAACAAGTTGCATACATATGCACGCGGCCAAAAGTTTACAATTGCATAGTCGTTGCAATCGTGAGATTAAGCTGTGGCCGCCACTCGAACGATAAGCGAATAAAGCTGCATCGGTGCAAAACGCAAACAACCGACAACGACGATGAACGAGCCCATTCGGTTGGGTTATTTGGCGCTGCCTGCCCCGGCTGGCTGGCTGCCTGACTGGCTGCTTCGCAATGCAGTAAAACCATAGCCGCCGTTGCCGTTGCCATTACAGTCGCTGGAATTGCGAGCGACCGAACTGCAGTGTCGCAACAACGAACCAAGCAAATAATGAAAAAATAGAAAAACATAAAATGGTCGAACATCTCATCAGCCAGTGCGCCCGTTCGTCCGTCCGTCAGTTCGCTTGGTAGTGGGACAGTTCGGTCACAAGCATTGCTTCGCGCATAGCCTGGCCACTGCGCTGGGCTGGGGCGCGAATAGCCAGTCAGTCAGTCGGTGCGAGCATTAAAGGGCACAACGACGAAGCGAGGCCACGCGAGGCATTCACTTACTCGCCGTAGACCTGAAAAGCTTTTGTTGTGTTGCCGTTTCACCAGCCTGTCAGTTGTGAATTTTTTCTTCGCTCGCTCCACTGTTTCTGTGTGGTTACATTCGTACATATGTATATATAATATATATATACTATTGTGTTAGTATTTATTTAGTTACATATGTATAAAAAATCGACAGTTCGTCGGGTGTGCAATCTGGCAGCACCAGCGGTTTAGTACGTGTGTATGGCGGGTATAGTGGTTTCTCTTTGCAGTAATATTTACATGTAAACGGTGAAAGTTACCAGATAGTTTTTAATTATTTAAACTGTCTGATTGGCTAGGTATCACAATTTTACGGTTGTTGATAGACTTGAAGGATAAATAATTTAAGAGAATTACTTTTAGGTAGTGTCGATGTTGGCCTGAACAAAAGTATTCGGGTTAGGGAAAGAGAGTATTAAATAGTAGGGCTCATCATAGGTTACTCAGATCTCACCTAACTTGGTAAAGTGGGATCGGTAGAACGAAACCATTACCCTACGAATGCCTAGCCTTTAGTCGGTTGAGACGAGATATCTTTGGGTGCCGCTCACCTTATCAAAGTTATGAATGAGTTAATATGAATTGTCTGTAAAAATAATTCTCACACTTTTTGGGGTCTGACGTAGTGTAGTTCTACGAACTGCTGTTCTTAACGAACATTATGCTGTGTCGCTCAACAAAGATTTTTCACACCATATGAGAGCTAACTTGGAGCTCACTAATTTTTGAATCTCTAAATTTAAGTCTTTCGAGAGGGTGTCATAGGTTTCAACTTGGTTATGGTCTTCAGGCTTGTTGACTAAACCTGCCAATTCAACTGTTAGTACTAGATCAGAATTGCCATTATCGATGGATTCCATTCGTATAAATAAAAAAGGGGAGAATACGCTTTGAATAAGTTCTGCTATTCTATCAGCCAGCTTTGTTAAACGAAAGTTAAATAACGGGGGAACAACCACGACAATTGAGGTAGTCACAGCATCTGATGTGACTTTCGTTTTTTTTGGTAAAAAGGGTCGTTCTTAGAATCCACCCTACCGATGCTAAGGTGGATGTCCAACAGCCTCCAAGGGCGACAGGAGAGAAGGGAACTCGCCGTTGGGGACAGATCGTCAACTGACGATTCTGCTTTCAATCTCGTGTTGAGAGTATTGATATTGCGAAACTTGCACTTCTGGAGAAAAGTGTGGGGAAGGAAGGTCCTAAGATCACTCTTTAGAACGCGAAGGCATCCGCCAATTCTTTGCTTCGTCTCGGAAGGGACGGACTCGACCTGGTTCTAATCGAAGAGCTGTAGCTGAGTAGTAGCGGCATCTCTGGACTAATAACCTGTCTGCCAACAGTATAGGCAGAATCAGAGCTTGTTTGCTTGTCCGAAATGAACTAAGTTTTTTTCTCTTACCTAATTTCAGCAACGAGGACGTTGAGGGCGATGCCAGAGAATTCTGGCTTGTCTCGACCACAATGACGAGTTGGAGCCATCTCCAGTAATGCTAAAGATGAATCTTCAATGATTTGTCTACCGTAAAGTAAGAGCCTGGTTTCGTATCGTTAAATTAAGAGTAAGACCTAGTAATTTGGTCGAGTCATTTAGTAGAGCCCTAAGGTAAAACTTCGTATTTACCACCCGCCTCTTGAATTTTCGCTCTAAAACTCACTTTCAGATCGCTGTATGTCTACAAAGTAAGTCGGGTTTATGTCATATTTATTCTTGATTGCTCATATAATGAGAATGCTGATGGAGCTGTGATGAGTGGCTCGAAATATACCGTTTATGAGTGTTTTCCGTGAAACTGTATATTTATTTACCCGGAATAGGTTGTACACCCATACATACAGTCGTATCGTTCATACTATTTGTGAGTTTATACATCGGACACTGTGCAATCTTCTTTCCCCACTCAATTGTGTGTTGGATCACATGAGCGCCACAAAATATTTCTGTTGTTGCTGTATTGTGTCGCCTCCTCACGCGGGCGCCCTGCTCTCGCCCACCACCTAAATATGTTCAATAACAGTGAACGAACGAGCGGCTAACCGAACCAGCCAACGAACGAACCACTGACGAAATCGCGCTGTCGTTCCAATTGTGCGCCGCTCGTGTAGCTCACTTTTTTCGTATATTTTTCATTTACTTGAGTATAAAAGTTTTATAAGCAGTATTTGAACAACGAATACGATAATAATGAAAACAACAATAGCAACTATACTTACGTACGTACCGTATAGACAAGTTTTGATATTACGTAGTTCGTTCGCACAGTTCGCATCAGCATATATCGTTCGATATTTTTCGCTGTTCGTCGTTGTCGTTTCAAGCGCTTTAGCATTCGCCGTCACAATCGGTGCCGAGACGTTTCCATTGCTGCTGTCGTTTTCGAATTTTGTTGTCTCTGCGCGTTTGCAGTGTGACTTTTGTTGTTGTACTGTTATTGTACTCACATATGACTATAACAATTGTTGTTGTACGGTATGTTTTATATCGGTATCTGCGGCTGGGTCCGTATGTCGGCGTGTTTGGCTAAAATAAAATTATTGCCAACTGCTGGTGCCTTTGGCTACGGTTGACGTTGCTGTTGTGTTGGATCGTTGGCTCACTATTTGGTTGTTGCCATTTGTTGTTCGTTCGTTGTGCGCCCGTACTGCCGACTGCCGCAGTAGAGCCATTGGTCGTTGCTATGAAATTTTAGCGTTTTTAGCTGGCTAACTTGTACCTGGCGACTTTTAGCCGTCGCGCCAGTCGGGCAGCCAGCCACTCAACCCAACATTGCTCGTTTGGCATTTGGCGGCGTTTGCGTTTTCCGTTTCCCAAGCGCACAAGTGAGCTCTTCTGCGGCCGCTTTGCTGTGCAGTGCTTTCGTTTGCCATTCGCTGCTATTATTATTGTTGTTGTTGCTGTTATTATTATTATTTTTTTTTGTTGATTACTATTGTTTTTGTTTTTTCCGTTTTCTCATTGTTGACTGTTGTTTTGCTGTTGTAGTTGTTGTTATTGTAGTTGATGATGACACAGCGCCGCACAGCGCTCATTTCGCCTTGAAACATTTTTTTTCGGCGCTGTGGCTCGTATACAGCATAATAAAAAATAAAATGAATGTACAAAGTGAGGGCAAAACAAAGAAAAAACTACGAAAAAATAGTAAAGCGCAACACAATATTTCTTTTTATTTCTATTTATTTATTTTCATTTTACAAAATGAGCCCATTCCAATCAACAACACAGGGTTGCTGCGGCAATGACAATTAACGTTATTGTTGCTGCGTTTATTTACAGTTTGAAAATATTGAGTCTGCTATGCCATCCCTGTGTTAACGGTATATTGAAGCAGATCAACAGTGTTTAGATAATAAATTATTAAAAGGAATTAAAGAAGGAAATTTCGTTGATGGATGTTGAGTTGGACGGTAACAGTGGAGAACTTATAGCAACTGTTTATAAGCTGTTACAGGGCTGCCAACCTACTTCCATAGAAGAATGCTACATTTAAGCTATTTAAGCAAGTTTAAGCAACTTTTCAGTTTATTTAGAATATTACTTACATAGGTGATAACAGACGAAGGCAAGCACTATTTGATACTAGAATTACGGAAGATCTTGCGCAATTGATTGAAGTTAGTATTTAAAACAAAAAATCCAAATGTTGGCACTTATCAATCTTGCTTTTTAACTAATAGTTGCTCTTACATATTATTTACCAATTTGCATTTTACTGTTTGTCTTGTTGGCATCATTTCAGCATTTCAATTTTAACTGTTCTCTTTTGCAGCGACAAATTCGATTACTAGTGACATAGCATGCTCAAAAAGCACCTTTTCAATATTGGTATAGTCACTTGTGCAAACTGCTGGTTTTTCGACATGGAGCCAGAAACTCCGTAGTACCTGATTCTCGACATTGACATAGAGTGACCTTTCCTGGGTATCAAGTCGACAGCCATTTAGGTCTAGTTAGGGTCACTTTTAAAGCATGTCTTGGCACAGATAACTCCTGCATTTTTGGAATTTATAAACTACAAATCTCAATGGGTCTAGTCCATTTTTTGAAAATCTGGACATAAGATACACCCAACGCCTGTCGGCAGCATTATACATAGTTGAGTTCAAATAGTTCAACGACTTTACCTTTTTTTTTTTTTTTTGGAATTTTCTTCTTCATCGCTACTTTGCCGTCTTTTACACGAAACCAAACAAAGTGGCAACATCCTGCGCTGCAGTTGCAACGAAGAATTTCACCTGCCTAACTACATGATTACCGTTACCAGTCCGCCGTACAGTTGCCGAGTCGTTGTTAACCGTTAGTTATCAAAATATGGTAGTTAAAGCATAAAGTATTCGTTGACGTAATTGTGCTGCAGCAACTGGTAAAATTGCTGGCGTACATACACACATGTATTGAAGGGTGGCGGGAGCGGTAGAGTAGAATAGGTTGGTAACTTTGATGCAAACTGATTGTTTGTCATAAAATAAAAATAAACCAACATTTTTATTGTAAAAAAAAAAATAACTGATGTAGAGGTTAGGAGGACGTTATTGCCGATTATTGTGTGTAACAAGTATACAATTGTTGCTAATGATGCTGTTAAATGCAATCTGTTTTTTCTTGGTGTTGTGTTTTTTCTTGTTGTTGTCCATATTTTTGTTATTACTGCGAGTACGCACGTAACTTGGATTACGTTTCACTACCAACGACTGCCAAACAGTAGCGTCAAAATGTTTTATACTATGGTGTCGTTTGCCTTCAATCAAATATATTTACACATATACATACATATACACATACATACTTATACATATACATATATATATAGATATACAATTGTATTCAATGACTTTCGTTATTGACTACGTCGTCACTGACTCGACTTCACCATAGTTGAGCTGGTGGTTGTCCGAGCTTATTTGTTATTGCTGCACAATACTGATTACCGTTGCCACAATCTTACTCATGATGTCATTACTTAAAAGGTTCTTTCGCACGCTGATTCGCTTTCGTTTGTTAGCTTCTTCACCCACTTACTGCTGACTACGCGCGTAATTCAGTCGAAATTAAATTATATTAAGTAACTCTTATTAGATGTCGACAATATTTGTATTTCAAGAAATATATAATATGATTCTGTTGTGAAAACGACTTCAAAGCTATTTGTGTATATACATATCTGATAGATCGAATAGTTTCTATAATTCACTTCCGAGTGTACATATATTATATTAGTTGGATTGTACGAAAAAAATGATATATCGGACACAGATATACTTCTAAAAAAATCTGACACTCATTCAAGACCGGTATAAGTGTGGTAAGACCTCAATTTTGCGTGTAATTTGTAATCACAAGTTATATACTAACCCCGAATGACTGATGAATGCTGTGTGAAAAACTAGTTTCTGTCAAAAAACACTCAGTTTGTCGCCAAAGATAAGTGCTTTAAGTTTTCTTGCTTCCCACAATCGCGATTGTCATTGCTTTGCATTGAAATTACTAGTTTTATTAATATTCAAGCCTCTAAAGCTATTATTGCACGGTTCGGAAAGTTCACAAGGTGCTGGAAGTGAAGTCAGAGAAATTAAATGTTTATAGTAACCTTGACATGGCTATCAGCGGCTTTGAAATCACTAAAATCTCTTAAGGTTTCATCAAAGATAGCGAAATAGTGCTTTGATCTCTTATTGGATCTAACATCCTATTTCACGATGAACCTGCAAAGGGTTCCAGGTCATAGCAGTGTCTCTGGTAACTGTGAAGCAGATGAACTACAATTAGACTTCGAAAACGAGGGAATTTATATGCTTCTGGCTATTTGTCGATATTTAACAGAAATAACTTTTTGTACCGATTTACTTCATTAGAAGCTCGGAGTGGTTCAGAGTGGTGACAATAGAGTGAGGAGATTTTAGTCCCGGTGGTATAACAGTGAGCCTCCTAAAGGGCTAGGTGTGTTGTTAGACAGCCTCGCTACCTACCTATCAACCTTGACAGATTCATTTGTCGTGGTTAATTAAATTAATATTGTTGGGAAACACTGGAAGCATATGCCTAACGCCAATGTTACTAACCCAAATAGTGCGCTTATTGAAAAGAATGGATAGACATGTGTAAATTCAAAAAACTACACGTAATCTTCAGGAGTCCAATACATTCTTTGACGGTCTTTTCTTGAATAAAGTCGGATTCATAGAGACCAACAATTTTTGCAGTAATAGAACGCATGCAACGAATGGTACTCGGTTTCAGACTAAGGTTATCAGCTTTATTGGCAACATCAATGAGCAGTGAAGGATCAATATTATGAAAACAATCCATTAGAGTTTCGGCCCAAAACACCAAATAATTTTTATTTGGATGATGATGATTGATGTCTACTAATTAACACTGGCATCTATATCGAAAAATCATTAGATGTTATAGAAACAAGAAACGCAATGTTGAAATGATTTGTTATGATTTCTATTTAGGTTCTTTTTTTTATTTTACAAAAATATGTATCAAATATAATAAATAAAATAAAATCGGCACCTTGTATGATTTCTGCGAGCGATAGATATGCATGGAGGTAGAGTTACAAAAGCGGTGAAATTCAATTCACCCAACCGCTCTGTTGTATCTTGTGGAGAAAGTTACTTCGAGGAGAAGCCTCGGTGCTTCGAATGATTTGATAATGAATACTTTCCCTGTGTTTTGATTTTGCTGGTAAATTTATACGAGCAGAAGTGAAATCATTTTGAGCGTTTTCGGTTTGATGGTTACTTCTATCATATAGGTATTATCTTTTCCCGACTAGATAAGAGGTTACATGGGTTTCACGGCTTCAAAAAATCGAGTTTTTTGTTATATAATATTTTTTAATTTTATAATATCTCTAGAAAATTGTCCCAAGTGCTTAAGTTCATCCGAGTAATAGTTTTGGAGATACAGCCTTGAAAATTGCGCGCTCGAAGTCAGCGATATAGTCACTTAAAACTTTTAACACGATTTGCTCGATACTTTGTTTTTAAAGTCGGTTGTCAAGTTTTCTCGCGACTACTTAACCGATCTTAATGAAATTTTGCATAGGTCTTCGAGATATAACTTACAAGGTCCTAAACGAAGTATTTTATTTTTTCAATTACAACTATTAAATAAAAAACATCGAGATATGTTTGAACTTTTTGTAAAAACGTTAGAAAAAAGTACAATTTTCACTTTTTGTTTTTAAGATTAACTGCTGCTGTCAATGCGGATACACCTTTTTCCCAAGGGTCTACCGGAAATGACGTTGTAATGGTCGCGTTTTGAATATTTTCCTTTGAAAATTTCACAAAATATATGTAAAATATGCATCTTTGGAATAATAAAAGGTTTAAATAAAATAATGTGTCGTTTTTTGCTCGAGGAAACCCGTGTAACACCTCATCACTTCCCTAATAGAGCAGATTCTCTCTCAGATCGACAAGTTTTTTTTTCGGGAAGGTATCACACCGTTTGATTTTATTTATATTATATTAGCTTTTTTTATATTGGCTTAATCTGTATTGTGATAGCCAGTAACTTTCTTGGACTATCTTGAGATCTTTGTAAGCCACACCCTTTATGCCAACTGACCTTCTTAGAAAATAAAGCTTACATAACTTTGTTAAGTTTCCACAAAGACGGAGAAAAATCTCAAAATCCCTCAGTAAATACGAATGTTTCGCTAGTGAGGCTACTGTTATAAAGCATATGTATATATTTTTTAAATATCTGTCTATATTTTTTCAATTTTGTTTAACACTAAACCTGGTAAAGTATGAGCTATAAATCGATGCAAAACAACGTCTCCAGGCTAAAGAATTCAAGTTTGAGAAAAGGCTTTAAACAAATGTTAATCTTTCCAAATTTTAAGAAAAATAAAAAAATCTATTCATACTCTTAGTCAGGCTGACTCAGTATATATTCTATTTGGTCTAGTTAGTGATATCCGAAATTGAGGGGAATACAGGTCATTTAACCCCTCCGTGAGCTCATAAAATGTATTTAAACGCAATTGAATCGGTATTTAGTATACCTTCTCAATTCGATAGATATAAGCTGGATTGCAGGAGTTTTCTACTCGATGAACTGTAAGATATCTTATAGGTTAATGAACCGTTATGACGAAACATTGTTTTTTTGGATATCGCTTTGTTGACAAGTTAGATAACACGAGATCACACTCGAAATGAATTTGCATTCATTTTCAAATCGAACGACTTGTTGATTGGTTAACTGGTTGAAAAGAAAAACAACAAATTGCATAGACGAAACACAAGAGAGTGTCATTAGAAGCTTATTAATATCGGGTTAATAGAGAAATTTGCAGTATGCAGGTGTTTTGTACTTCTATGTTTTTGGTTGGCGCTATTGAGTAACAAAAGAGAGAGCAATTCGCAGCGCAAGCAATTTATGAGCGACGTAATCGTTCACGGTCGCCAAATTATAATCATTGTCGGTACGAAGGTACATAGCCGCAGCGGTAATATATAAAAGTTTTTGTTAAGTTGCGTGTTGAATCGCAAGTTGCTCTGGCACGATTAGTTGCTGCTGTTGCAGACGCTGTTTGGAAATGCCGTCGCTCGTGTGCTGATAAGGGTGATTCCCCGATTTTCGGCGCTGCTCAGCCAACCATTCGTCGTAGCGACAGTGCAACTTTTCAATGTTACCGTTTTTAAGTTAAGTGATTGTTGTTGTTGCATTGCCAACGGCTGTTTGCATTTGCACGAATTCCGAACGATTTTCTATTTATTTATGCGTTGCGTCACTTCCACAAGTTGCTTATCGTGCGTCTGGGAGGTTTTGGTTGATGCTATTGTTGTTGTTGTTGCTGTTGTCTTTGTTTGTGCTGTTGTTCACTTGGTGTCTCATGCAATTTTGTGCCGGCAAGTCATGAATGAAATTCCATTGTCTGTGAAAACAAAAAATCAGATAAGTATTTAGGTATATGTGTATGATTTTATGTACAATATATGTGTTTGTATGTAAGTATGTACTGTTAGGTGTTGGCCCTTGTTTGGTTGCAACAAATCGTAGTCGGATGCCTAGTGTGAGACAAATAATTTCAAGTGTCCACTCCAATCTATGAATGAAATTGACCAGCAATACGACAGTATGCCATCGCACTCGTCCTTTCGCACGTATCTGTTATAATAACATAATTGGTCACGTAATTGCGTACCTACATAACTACATACATATATGTGTATATATAAATGTTATATGTGTTTGTGTATGTACGCTTTCTCATTGGCGAGAGACATGTATTTGTCCCCCGTAGCAGACTCTTTTATGCTCTTGCAACATGTTGCACGGATTATAACCATTTTTTTTTTATTAACATGACGATGTTTTGCTAATGCATAAAATAATCGAATAAATAAGTAAAATCGGTGAAGGTGCTAAAAAAAAACGTTACTGGCGATATACAATGCAAACGGATGGCTGGTCAGAAATTACGTAGCACTGATATGGTTGCCAGAATTTAGTAAAGAGAGAGAGAGTAGACAAGGAACTACACTCCGTACGAAAACAGGATGCCTCCCGTCGAATAGCAAGAGATCATTCCTTGATTACGTCAACGACATTGGACAATAACGCCTACCAGACTATGGACGCAACTACCTTCCGACATGCACTGAAAGCCATTTAAAGTGGAGCCATTAACAACAGCTTTACCAACTCCATAACAGACGAAGAGCTCGAGTTGCCCTGAGAATCTAGAGTAACACTTGCGCAACTTCGTCCTGGATACTGTTGCCGGTTAAACTTTAACTTCATCCAGAATATATCAAATATATGTCCCGCGTTCAATCAGTCCACTTATGATTATAACCACCTCTTTTCATGACCGATAAATCCCACTCATCTAACAACCCTCTCCCCATGGCCCGATCTCGTCGAAACAGCACGTTTCCTGGGCCTCCCGTTAGATGACAACCAATTTAAACCTTACCCTAATTGTACTCTACAAATCAATATGACCGTAAAAACCGTTGAGACTATTGGATCCAATATTGAAATTATAGCTCTTTTGCTACCACGTGCACATAAACACATACATAAATATGCTGTATGTAAAAAAAAAAAACTCAGTATATACAATCGTTAGCTAAGCAAATATTGCAGTCAGCTGATTCAGTCTCGAAAAATCCCATGACACAAAGAAATAGCGATTATTTATAAATTCGTGCAAAAGTTGCGTGCTTATACACATACAGGCACACATACTAAACTTTTCCGACTCTACCGATTACCGACTAATTCGTACCATGTAAGTAAGTGTCTTGTCAGCAGATAGTCTGGAAAATATCAACTCAAACAATTTACATATTTACATACACATACATACGTATGTATGTGCGCTTACTTGCCCATTGACAGCCCTTGAAACAAATCAATGACTCTGCTACTTATCACTGATAAGTACACTAACGCTAACATGTATTGTTGTTGTTGTTGCTGGTGCTATTGTTCTTATCACTTATCAATTTTTCGCGTGTAAACGCACATGCATACATATACAAATATGTGTGTGTGCTGATGTGAGTACATGCCTCTATTTAAATCACACCTTCAAGCAAAGCTTGCGGCAAATAAATCGGTGATTTTCTATATTCAATAGATACGGACATAAAATTTGTAAGAATTTTTGTTATGCTTCAAGGTCCACAAAAATCGCAAAGGGTCTGTAGCATACATTGTTCGTGTATAAGAAATGCGAATGGAGTGATTGACCTCATGGTGCAAGCGGAATTTCGTGATTAAGTAGTAGTAGCAGCCTACTCTCTAATTTATAAAGTACTTAGCGAAATTTCGGTTTGAACTAGGTCTACGTTTGGCTGCCATTCTCTGTTTTTATTTTTTTATTTTAATAATTACCGGCAGTTTCTCATTAGAAAGTTATATCCGAATAATGTCATATTCAGCCTTAATGCCTTTTATTTAATTTTCAACTCATTTCCATTTAGGTCAAAATAAGGTGAAAAATAAACAAAAATTTTGAATGAAAATACCTAAGGAAGGGCTAAGTTCGGGTGTAACCGAATATTATATACCCTTGCAACTTGCGTTTAGTTGACAAAACTTTATATTAAACTGTGTAAAGTTTTATTCTGAAAACCTCATTGATGTTTGATTTCAAAGTAAGCACGCCTAAATATAATGCACTTATGTCAACGTTTTTTCCAATCCACAAAGCAATTAAAAAAGTAATTTTTTGTCATCCTGTTCAGCTTCTCCATCGATGCAGTTTTTATCTACTCAATCGTAGCGTAGCATCGTCCTTTCATGGGCCTCTTCAGTTTTGGGAACAAAAAAGTCATAGGTGCCCAGGTGATAACACGGTTGCTGCGGCACCACTAATATGTTGCTTTTGGCCAAATACGAGGTTTGCTCAAAAAATAAATAATATGTATCTCAAATTTTGTATTTTCGCGGGCTTCACCGATATCTAGTTACTTAATAGCGTAGGTGCATTATATCTAAGTCTGGAAGACTTTGTAGAATTTCACTTAAAGGTTGGCGCTGCCACGTCTATTGTATCCCATAAATCCAGTCCGTATTATCATGGTTGTAAAATGTCATGCTTGTAGCGCATTTATACAGTGGTTTTCAACATAATCGTTTTCATTTTACCCATTTTCACAGAGTTTGAAGAGGTGCTTAAATGACTTCCTCTTAGCAAGTTTGCTTGGTATAACTTTAGCGAGCAGGGCCACGCCTACTTAAAAAAAAATATATCCCACAGGTGTCCCTGGCTGCTGTGAACTCCTATATTAAATTACAGTTTTGCAACTCGGCATCGAATCAGCCTAATAATTCGTTATAGCAGAGCTTTGTGACCGCTTGGCAGTTTTCCATGTAGTCCCCTTTCCGGTTGATAGCACCGTATTCGTCTTCTTCGGAGTAGGTTCGCCAGTGAGGTCAACTGGTTCGCCGGTTCAGTGGTCTCTGATGTGTATCAGTAGATCTATATTTCGGCGAAGGTTCCTAAACGACAAAGAAACTCCTTTGGATTGTGTTTATGTGGCATCAGATACTGCTTAGAAGTCGTTTAACAGCTGCGCTTGTCACACTGTCAGATTTCTTATTTCCAAAATTTCATTTATGATCGCCACCACGACTTCGTTTGCATTTTTCCACCCGTTTACGCCAATTTTGTTGCTATATGTTTCGGCTATAGTGCGCTGAATGTTGTATTGAGCTCCTCGACCGTTGCTGGTTTATTGACCTTGAAATGGACCTCATCTGAGAAGATGATTTTTCTATGGAAATCGTTGTTGGCTTCCATCATTTCCAGCGTCCAATCGACAAAACTACGGTGCTTCAAATGGTCTGTCGGCTTTAGTTCTTGTGCCAAGCTTATACGGATGCAGAGCCAAATCCAACCGCAAAATTTGCCATGTTATCAAAAAAGAGACCAACTGTACAGAACGACATTAAATCGGCTGATGCGGATTGGGCTCAACGCTGAGAAGAGCGCACAGAAGAAGCAGTATGACGACCCTGTTTTGTACGAAGAGCCAGAACCAGAGAACGTGAATTTGTGTAATGTTCTTGGACAATTTCCAGGCGTTGTAAAAACCTTACTGAAAACACTGACATGTTTTGACCTAACACCTGACCGCCACAAGCTGTCAAGATCACGATCCTTTCGGTAGACGCTGTACAAATGACAGTTTATCAATTTGAGATCGTGCCCTTTTGTTTCGGGAGATCTTTGTTTGGAGCTTGAAACTCGTTAAATTCATTTTGGACGGTCGCCCTCGAGAAGAGGACACATTTCAGCGCACATGGGCGCTTGATTTCTCGATACGATTTCTCTTCCAAATATAAATATGAAATCCGATCGTTATCGCTATTTTCATATTATAAAAAACCGCGGTCCGGTGACCGGTCCGGATTTCAAAATTAGAGTAATTTTTTCTCTTAAAACTACGGCTAACCAGTCTTGTTTGTTTAATATGGTTTGTGAGAAAGACTGAAAATTGCTAACCGCTTAAATTAAAAAAAAATATATATAAAAAGTTCGTGTCAAATGCTACTTGAATATTAGAAATATTGAAAATTTCGATAAGCAATTTATGTAAGTGAGGTTTATTGTAGTCAGAGGTTGAAAGGGAATTTTTAAAACAAGATAGAAGGTATATCTTTTAATTTTTTATTTGTAGAAAAAAATTGTTAACGTTCTTTTTATAAATCGTTAAATATTTCTAGCATTACTTGCCAATAATTTCAGCCGCTTGCATCCCTCTATACAAATACAAATCATACAAATTTTTATTGATATGCAGTTTTTTTATAACCGCATATTTCCTATTAGAATCGCTTTGCTTTAACGATTCGAGATAAACACGCACAGCGTCAATCGCCAAATGCGCCGCAACAAACGAACGCGCTCAAGGTAAACGCAAAAGTAAACAAATTCAAAAGTGTGTTGTTTTTCCCCATTCGGTTTTTTTTTGTTTTTTTTTTTTTTAATTTTTGCTTACGTGCCTTTAGCATGCAATAAGTAGAGTTATTTTTGTTCGATCTCGAGTAGTGTTGCGCTCACGTAAGATCAACACGCCGCAAAGCAATCGACGTTAACAATGCGAAACGTCAAAACATCAACAAAGCCAAAGTCAAAGGCAAAAGGCAGAGAAATAAACTTATAGCTATCTATGTGTGGGTGTGTATGCGTGTGTTTTGAACCATAGCAGCGTTAGAAGTGCAAAATGAGAAGCAGAAAAATTATTGAGCAAAACAAAGTGATACGAAATGAAATGCAATCGAATAAATGGCAGAGCAACAATAGAAAGAACAAGTGCCTCGTTGGGACACAGTTGAAAGCATCAACAGCAAAAAAAAAAGCAGAAAACAAAGCAAACAAACGGACGGTGATCGAACGATTGAGCAGGTAGCAAGCAA